TTCGACGGAGCGGAAGTTTGTGAACTTGTTGGTTTATTCATCTTAAATGAACTATCGATAACGTTTGGGAAAGATCGTGTCGGCCTGTATCGCGACGATGGACTGATATTGCTGAAGGGGACTCGTGCTCGTCTAGCTGATCAGACAAGAAAGAAATTGCACCATTTATTTGATCAATTTGATTTAAAGATCACGGCAGAGGTCAGTCATCAAACTGTTAATTTCCTAGACATTACGCTCAACTTAGCTGACGGTAGTTACAAACCCTATAGGAAACCGAACAACCAACCACTCTATATCAACAGCCACTCTAACCACCCACCCCCAATTATCAGACAACTACCTGTGTCAATTAATAAAAGAATCTCCCGACTCTCTTCCGACAAACAAGCATTTGACTCATCGGCGCCTCTATACGAACAAGCCCTCCATCACAGCAACTACCAAAGCAAGTTACACTATCAAAATCATAACACCCATAACACACCAAAAAGAAACCGAAAAAGGAATATCACCTGGTTCAATCCGCCCTACAGTAAAAACGTGAGATCCAACATTGGTAAAGATTTTCTACACCTCGTAGATATTCACTTCCCTAAGTCATCCACCCTCAACAAAATTTTCAACAGGAATACCATCAAAGTGAGCTATAGTTGCCTGAAAAACGTGAAATCCGTGATATCCAGCCATAACAATAAGATCCTTTCAAAAGCGCCATCACCAGTACCACCTCCCCCATCACCATCTCGCCCATCACCAACGTTAACGCCAACACCATGCACCATTAAAACCAACACCAACACCAGTGCCACACACCAACAAAACATGCAATTGCAGAGATAAGAATACGTGTCCTCTCAACAAGAAATGCTTAACCAAAGGCATTGTCTACCATGCAAAGATCGCAGCAGAGGACAACGGCGAAACAAGGCACTATATTGGAATTACGGCTACAACTTTCAAGGAGCGTTTTAGGAACCACCAGAAATCGTTCAACATCGCTACGTATGCAAACGACACTGAACTGTCGAAGTACGTATGGAGTTTGAAGAAAAGCAATCGCCCATACAAAATTAAATGGACCATCTTAAAACATTCGAGTGCATACAGATCGGGACGTAATCAGTGCAATTTGTGTAGCGACGAAAAACTTTTCATCATGAAATTTAAAAAGAACTCGCTGCTCAACAAAAGAAGTGAAATATTCTCGAATTGCGTCCATCAAAAACAATTTCTGGCGGGAAAATACATTCGCGTGCAATCGAACAACGTGCGCAATCATGCACGCGCAAGCAAACAAAACCAAACCGTCAAATTTAGTTAACAGAACTTTAGTTGTCCGAAGATTGTCTGTAAACTCAGGCATGAAACTCTGAGTAACAACGTTTGTTTTGTACTTTATTTAAATAATTAAATATATATATATATATATATTTATGTTGAATCCTATTTGGATCCTTCGCCCTCGAGTAGACTTCGTTTGGCATATGCATTGCCATACCAAATATCAAAGCTTATATATATATATATATATATATATATATATATATATATATATATATATATATATATATATATATATATATATATATATATATATATATATATATATATATATATATATATATATATATATATATATATATATATATATATAAGTTAATCACCTGGCAAAAAGCCATTTAAATAAGTTAATCACTAACACATATTGACGTTTCGACTTTATTGTCTTCTTCCAAGTAAAAATCGTTAACATAAACCCCTACTTATATACCCTACCAGACGAACATAATTATTCATACTCCTCAGAATCCTGTTCAATGTTCAACCCCGAGGGGTACATTGTCATAAGTCTATTAATCCAGTACATTTCCCTAATCGTTGGTTCTGCTGGGTTGGTTTTATCAATTATGACTATATCACAGTCATTCATTAAGCCATTATGGTTTTCACCTAAGAAATGCGAATGAAAAAAGGCTTGTGTATGAGCTTTGTTGGACATTGCTTTCCTTTGACAAGATTTATAATTGTTCCATCGAAAGCGGAATTTATCTGTCGTCTGACCAACATATTGCTTCTTACACACTTTACATGAAAGCAGACGGCAAAGGAAATGGCTAAAATTTACCCATCGCCAACAACAAAAGAAAATCAACGACGTATTGCAGTTGGCGAACGTTACAGATAATCGGAAATACCGAAGGGGAAGGACGAAGTCACGGCTGAGCGAAATCAAGATCGATAGAATGCCAACAAGAAACTGTGAGTCAGATTCTCAAAACATGGGTGACATATGTGTGGTCGAACAGCCAGAAACAGAAATCCATCTAGAAGAGATGACAGCACTATCTAGAAGTGAAGATATAACAACGAAGATGTCAACGATGTTAAACAATAGCACGGGGGAGTCGACCATCAACAATAGCAATTCAACTGCAGTTATGAATATGAACGGTAGGATATTAGAACGTAATGAACCACCGTATAATATCTTAAGTACAGCAGGGCTAATTAACACCTCGGGCAATATCACAACAAATGCATCGGTTGCTAATCCAGCTGAATCTAACAATGCAATAGGGTCGATTAGTGTGAATGGGGTTCAAGCAAGCAATAACGATCGCTTAGTAGGCCACTTCATTTCAGAAAATGTTTTCAATCTTAGCCACAAAGTATTAAATGAAACTGAGATAAGTGTTCTGAGTAAAGGCTTACAGTTTGTTCCAACTACATTTAAGATAGATGAAGAGGACTTAAGGAAAGACTTTAACGAATTTACCCGTAGAATGCGTAATAAATGGCATTTCAGAGATAACGTAACGGCGGACTTCAGTGAAATTCCGGCATTTCGTCCGAAATCCACCTGGACACCACCTAAAGGTTGTCCGTCCTTAGAACTATTCTTAAGTCAAATTGAAAAAGAACTGTTTGAGTGTGTACCGCAAAAACTTTGGAAACACAATCTTAGTAAGATTGAGTGGCTAGCTTTGAAAACATTGACTGAAGATAACAGTATAATTATTAAACCAGCGGATAAAGGGTCGTGTGTTGTGGTCTGGGATAGAGATGACTATTTAGCAGAAGGATATTCGCAACTAAGTGAAAATAATGTTTACACCAAAATGGAAAGGTTTTCGGAAGAAACTGTGATGTCTTTGACTGAGGAAAGCAACAACATGTTTCATAAGCTGTATAATCAAGGATGCATTTCGAAAGACGAATTTAAGTATTTTTCGTACGATTTTAAAAATTCGTGTGCACTGGGGAGGCTATATCTTTTACCTAAGATTCATAAAAGGCTTCGAAATGTACCCGGACGTCCTGTTATCTCTAATTGTGGGACTCCTACAGAGAGGGCGTCTGAATTCTTAGATCACCATCTTAAACCCATAATGAAAGCAGGGAAGTCCTACATTCGAGATACAGGACATTTTTTGGATAAATTAAAAGAAATAGGTAAAGTTCCGGAAAATGCATTGCTTGTAACTGCTGATGTTACAAGCCTCTATCCCAGTATCCCACACGAGGATGGTCTGCGAGCACTTCACACCAAGCTA